ATCACCCCCCGCACAAAGTCCCCCCCACACACCCTCCCCCACCTCGCATACCCACACACCCACAGCCCCCCGTAAACCTATACCTATCCCCCCACACCCCTAGCCCCCACAGTATACAAGAGTAAGACTTCATTTTAAGCTATTGTGCAGTCCCCTCTATGTACACTAGACTAGTGCATGTACATCAGGACAAAATATTTTTTTAAATCAAATTAATTAATATTGTAGAAGTTTGGTTTTTAGAATATAATTTGGTATTTTTCTGGTTCTGAGATGGCAAAACTCCTTGCTGAAAGGAGTATTTCTGGGGGCAAGGGGTGGGACTTCTGGTGGCAAAGGTTGGGGGTTAAGGGATGGGACTTCCGGTCCCAAGATGGTGACTAGGGGGTGGGGCACCTGTCAAGGGGTGGGGCTACCCATGTGGCCCTTGACAGCTTGCCAAAAATCGGTAAGCAGCCCTCTTCCCAAAATAATTGCCATCCCCTGGTTTAGATCTTTTCCTGTCTGTTTCACAGGTTCATCATTCTTAGAAAAAATTGGTTGCTGTAAGTGGCTAGAGGTAGAATTCTAAGTTAATTTTCTCTTCTCTCACACACGCAAAGCTAACATTTGTACCTTTCCATTCCTCACTGCCAGCAGTATAGTTAGGTCCTATTCTAGTTCATTAGTGCCTGGTTTAAAACTATTAGAAATGAATGCGAGTCTTGCTTTTACATCGGAAATTTGGCAAAGAGAATGTGAACCATGACCATTTGCTACATGAATTAGCAATGTCCCACCTTTTTTAAAATGCACCTATTTCAAGACAGATAAATGTGCCAGTTTGAAATATGCTTTTTTAGGAGTAGTAGTGCTTTGCTATTTGGGGGTGCTAAGTATAAAAGAGGATGTAGACATGTCAAAGACAGTTCATATTTATGCATAAATAAAAGCTCTGAATTTGTTTCTAAGTATTCTCTCTGTATGGCTGAGCATCCCAGTGCCTAGATTTTAGCAGCACTTTTTGACAAATAGTAAATTCACCAAAAAACATGAATCTATATTTTTTTAACTTCATTTAAATGTTGTCTTAAATATTGGTTTTATCTTCAAAAAGTTCCTTTCATTAAAAATTAAAAAATGTTTTAAAAAGGTAAAAGAAAATCCTGGGAAAAAGGAAGACAAGATTAACTTCATGTCAAATAGAATATTTGAGACTGACCCAAATAATTTTTCTTTTTTTTTCTTCATTTTTGCCAAAAAGTTTGCTTTGGTTTGACCTGAACCATTTTTTTCTGATTCTTTTTTTGAGTAGGTAAAGAGACGAAATTGGTTAATGAACTCCAAAAACTGCTATGCAACTAACCTTATTCACATACTTTTGAACCTTTTGAGCCAGTTTCAATATACCTATAGTTAAAAGTGAATTCAATTGTTGTAGTTTAGTGTGAACATTACATAGAAAGTGAGGAACTAGTAGTGGAAAATATATTGGAGTATCAGTTACTACAGAAACATTATTGTTGACTATAAAGAAAACAACAATCTTTTTGTGAATAGTACAGCTCTTGGAGCAATTTATTCTACCTATACTATAGTATAGATACTTGCAGTTTGCTGGAATCTTGGATATTTGACCTATTAGCCCCTTTAATTAACACTTCAAAAAGTGCCACTTAAAGACTATTGTGGGAATACGTAAAGAAACGTTATCCGTGTTATGTTGCCATGTTATAACTGTTGTTCGCAAAAGTGAAGCTTTCCAAGGGTTTAGAAAGAATTATCAAGGACAGGTTGCCTTGACAAGGAAAAATACATTTTCTGACTTAACTAGCAAAGGTAGGTGAAAACTCCTTGGGCGTGTCCACACAGGCAAGCATGTGCACTTGCAGCAGCCCAAATAGAAACAGTGCAAATCTGAGCTGGGGCTTTTTGCCTCAGTGCACGTGCTCAGATATGCACTTTGTTGTGCAGCAAATTGTGCCACTAGGGGCCAAATAACCCTGCCTGGCTCCTCCTGGATCTGCAGCCAGGGGAAGCTAGAGCCCAGGGCCAGCACCTGTGCTTTCCCCAGTAGTCTAAAAAGCTGCCCTGTTCTGGCCCCATCAGTAAAAAAAGCTGCCCTGGCAAGTAGGTCAGGGCTACTCACTCTCAGGAGCCTCTGGGGCCCAGCCAATTGGTACCTGGGGACACTACCCTTTGTGCCAGCTGGACTGCTGAAGCAGCCCTGAGAGTTCCCTGCATCCTTTACCCACTGCAGCAGACTGGCAGTGGGGGCTGCTGCCTGGCTGTGACCTGCTGTGCACCTGCAAGACCTGAATGAGCATCTGCTTGCCAGTAACTGCCAGGGCATGGTTTGTTGTTTTTTCCCAATGCTGGGATCAGGGGGGCAGGGATCGGGGGTGCTCAGGAGCTGGGGGGGGAATGGGCCAG